ACCATGAAGACCCGTGGCTGCCAGCATGTCTGCCAGTGCCATGAGCGGAATCCGAGCACTTGCGAAATCGGCCGAGCTACTCTGACCGAGACACGACGGCTTCGCTAGACAACGTGAGCGCATAACTCGTGTACGCGGCGAGTCCCATAAAAAGTGTAAATGCCGATTACACAGTGACGTAATATAATAATGGATATTGTGATGATGGTAGAGATTCCAACAGATATACAATTTCTTATACTTCAGCGAAATAACCGAGTACACAATTGATGTTTACGGGGTTTATTGCCGGCAGTTCACGACATACACACTACGATGCGTATCATCTCGTGTCCTCTTGACATGTGTCCGCATCATTGAGCGATGACAGATTCCACGAGTAATGCGGTAGCTTTTATTCTCGATTTACAAGCAAGTGTTTATTTCTAGAAATGGGAAATTCGCGAGCTGTATTCTGTTAGAATGTTCGCAGATTCCATTGCATTTGTATTTTAATATCGTATTGCCTGATAAAATTATATTTTCTTAAAAAAGAAATTTTTTTAATTTGCTGCAAGAACAAAAAACAAAAATTAAAACATAAATTGATTTGATGACTAATTTAATTCGATGAATAAACAATTTTTTAAATTAAAGATAAACGAGCTAGATGTGCATAATGCGGATAAAAATGAAAAATTTTGATACATTGAACAGTAAATAATTGAGGAACATTTTGATTTATATTGAAATTATTATCTATCTAAAAAATAATAAAAGTTTAGTGTAAAACATTCGAATTTTGCTAAGTTATTTTCAAGTAAGAAACCGATAATATGTATCTGCCTGAAGCAAGAGAGATAAAAAGAATATCTGAAGTTTCTTGAAATATTTACCAGTGATATTATAAAAAAATTAAAATTAAGTCGGAATAAATATAAAATATAAAAGGCTATAAATTGTATATGTAGTAGTTTATAATCAAAATTGTTATAATTACTTGATATATATTTTTTTTTAATTTTTAACTTATTATTAATTATAACTATTAATTATTTAAGACAGAACCCTTATATTTATTGAACGATAAATGAAATGTCAAGCAACGGTTACGTTGATAAGTGCAGAGTTAATGTTTGATAAGCTGTCGAGTCGAACCGCGAATTACAACGCTAGGCAACTTTATGAATATATTAGCGAGATCCGTCGAAGTTCGCCAGACTATGCGGCGAAACGTAAAAGGCCTACTCGATCCGGGAATTACGTTGCATCTAGATTGCACAAAGATATACTTACTCGTCCTAATGGTAGCCTGTCGACATAGACACGCCTCCGTCAAAGCCGTCGGTATCAACAAAGAGACTCTTTCGAGAGAGATCACCCGCGTCGTCGCCTTGCCACTATTCATGCAATATAACGAGCCGTGAACAGGAAAGAGCTGACAAATGCGGAAAACCACGAAATACGGCATAGTTGGCGTTATCGCCCGCTATAACCAAATAAGAGGAAAAAAAAGAAAGAAAAGTGAAAAGACGAATGGGCTATTCCCGTGAGTCAGTGCAAGCATACTTGCAAACATGTCGATGCGGTCACTTTCGTGAATGCACTTTATTGCGTCTGCCCTTCAGCATAAAAATAAGCACCGGGGTAAGAGGCGCAAAAAAAAGGGTAGAAGGAGAAGATCATGAACGAGGAGGGGACAGTGGCGAGAAAGCGGAGAGCGACGGCGGTGGCGGCGACGCGGTGGTGGCGAAGGAACAAAAAAGGATAAGGAAGAAGAAGAAGAAGAGTGGCTAACCGGCTGGCCGCAACAAACTCGAAGTAAACCAAACCTACCGGTCCTACCGCTCGTCACCACTACCACCTACCGAACTATTACCTGTAACCAGTCTATATCTGGCCTCCGTTGCGTCTTTCTCCTCTTTCCTTTCTTTTTCTTCTTTCTCTTTCTCTCTCATCCTGTGCATCGTGTGCAGAATAGTGGAATCCCCTGCGTCCTCTGCATTTACGACTGACGTGGTTATCTCCCACGCGGCTACGAAGCGATTCTCTCCATAAATTCTGTGTTGATCTTTTAGATTATTGACGCAAGCACAAAAAATGGGTGTCGTTTTAATTTTTCTATAGCCGTTCTTTAGTAGAGTGCAGTATAATTATTTATAAGTATAATTATTCATTATGTTTTTTATTTGTATATTAATGTTCTTTATAATATCTTTTATAATTTCGTATTATAATATCTTATTATAAAATTATTAATCAAGGACAACCGACGTTAAAGCGCATTAACCGCACGTGTATCGTATTAAAAGAATATCAAACAAAAGAAATAACTAATATTAAATCAATATTAATAAATACGATGATGAGCGATACATTCGCCAACATTGTGCGCATTAACTATTTTGTGCGTAAGCAACTTTTCGAATGTACAGAGAAAATATTATATCGGGAAATATTACAAATAAAAATTGTAGCAAAACTTTTATAATTTGTATTCAACTTGATTTCTGCTTTGATTACCGAGAAATGAGATCATTTCATGCTGAGTTTTTATTAAATATACACTTTTTGCTTTAAATGCAATAACATGCATCGATAATAAGGATTAGATTTATCGTGAAATATTATTTGCGTTTATTTGATTGCTTTCCTGAAATATTATTTATTTTTAAAATTGATCTTAATATTTATATTACATAAATTTACGCAATTCTATCTTGAAAAGTGCTATCAAATTATTGTCGGTTGTCATTGTGAAAGTTGCCTAGTTTTGCATATTTTGAGATGGTTATTGCAGATATTTATTATTACTTTTGTGTTTTACAGAAAATGTTTAAAATGTTTTCTTACTTTAGATAGAATTATAATATATATTTCTTTCTAATCAAAAGTATCAATAGCGCGCTACACGCGCACTTATGCGTGTCTAGTTATATTAGAAATTGAAAGTTACAGAAAAAAGTAGAAATTATATTTTTCACAATTTTTGTTTCAATATTTCACATATTATTACTAAATTAAAAATTTAATTCTTTTATATGAAACTGTTCTTATTTTAATAGACATTCAGTCATTACTTCTTATACAATTAATTATAATTATAATTAATTATAATTATACACAATAAGTGTAACCACGAATAATTCTTTGCAAACATTAATTATTCGTCCATACTCTGTGTATTCAGAAAAAAAGGAAAAACATTCATTATGATTGATCGCTGCATCCTTAATACTTCCGTTGCATACGTCATGATCTGATATACTGATAAACGGATCTTATATAACTTATCTACGTATGAACATGTTTACATATGATGACACTTTTAGTTTTCTCATTTTTTATATCATTCCTTGAACAGATTTTAAAAAACAATTAGTTGTTAATAGAACCAAAAAACGATTACATTAATTTAAGTAAAAATGTTTTTACTTATAACCACAATTATAATTTTTAACAATTAATGCAAATTGTTTAACCCGACTTATTTTATTTGCTGTATCGAACAAAAACGTTGGTTGCGTTATCATATATATATATCTATAGTCATCTCAGACTATAATTTATCTTACGCATAATTTTTTATCACCAGTAGATCATTTATCTCAGAACAGAATAATTCTATATACATATCGCAAACCGACTTGAACAGGCGTTGTCACGTCAAACATGTTTTTTTTATTTGTTGAAATAAATGCCATGACGGCAACAGCTCGTAACACTACATTCGCTAACGCGAATGCAGTCGTTTAAATTATATTATCCTGCGTAATAAACACATTTGATGACGTATTTCTTGCTGAAGACTGAGTTGACTATATTCATATTTTTTGAAACTTTAACATCCCAGTAATTGAGATCTTATCTCAAAATTTTATTAAAGTAAAATCTAAAAGTTATATTACTGAAACAATAAGATTTTAATTATCTACAAATTATCTTTTTCTTAAATCGATTTAATATTAGAAAAAACAGATCAGTTTGATAAAAAATATTGCCACGAACATTATCGTATGTGGTCACTATTGTATATAATGTACAACATTTTAATATTCAAGTAACGTAAATAGCTTTAAAATCACCGCTATAGCGATTTAATCCGGCTTACATGATCCGGGCCATTAGGAATCCGTGAGTGTCGCCTGAATTACACATGCGATTACATTTACAGCGGCGGGACGGTGAGCGGTGTTGCGTGGCGTTGACAGACGTGACACGCGCCGAACAGGTGTGTTTAATCCGGACGTTTAAATCGAGTCTACGAGATTACGCATCCGTTATTTTCATGACGCTGTCTCGAACGCACCACCGAGTGACCGCAAAATCCCTTCGTCGATTATTATCATAACGGATTGCGACGGTTGCCGTGGTCGTAAACAACGATCTGCAGCAGATCGGCTGCAAGTTTTTCTTAGGATCGATCAGTTTCAGCTGCATCGAGTCGCGCTCGCGATTGATTTTTCCTTTCAATATTTTTCATTTGAGGACGATTAGACACGCCTTTTCCGTTCTTTGTATAATGATGCAATTTAAATTGCTGTTTGAATTGTTAGAACAAAAAAATTACCAAATATTTATTATTAACAATATGAATAATTCTACTATATCGAATAAAGAAACGATATTTGTCTTTTATTAAAATAAAAAAATTTAAGCTAAATATAAATATATACATTCTTTAATAATATATATTCTCGTATATATTGCTTAACAATTAAAAATTGAATACTCTGCTTAATTCTTAATAAACAATACAACGCAATTATAGTAGACATAAGTATAGATACGAAGGTATAAAGAATATACGAGACAAAGTTTGTCTTCTTATTAAGATACTTATCATTCAGTGACGTAGTAAAAGACGTAAATATTTCTCACATTATCATTTTTTGTTCACATGTTTTTGTTATCACTTTTAATTAGTCTTGTAATATATGCTCTATTTATTATCTATTTATTATCATACATTTCTATAATTATCCGAATTTGGACTCACATAGTATCATTATATCTTTCAGGTGGCTCTTAGACGTCCAAGCTGAAACTGTGAAAAGTACAAATTGGCAGCAGTATGCTTACAACGTAGCATTCAAACTTCAACCATCTTCTTGCTGAGTCGCTCTGCGATGTTGTTTAGGTAAGCCTATAATTTATAGGCTATTGATTACTATGTTATAATTTTACTTTGTTCTTTATGAATTTTTTAATTGCAATTTAATGACAGAGATAAATTTGATAATTTTATTTTTCATAAATAGAATTATATAAATTAATTTATGTTGACATATAAGTTTTAAATTATTATTTTGCTCACAAAACGAAAGAAGGTGATATGCTAATGAAAGCAAAGACGCATGCGAAATATCGTTTGAGTGCGAAATATATTTTTATACGTAACAGTCGTAACTTTGCTATTATATAAATATTCCATTTGCGTCAACGAATTAAAATGCGCGTTATATCAGTACATCCATGTGGAACTTTGATTCGAGATTTGTGCAAATCATGCCTATTAATAATCGCTATTCTATCGCTATTAATAATCTATACTATACTATGTGAATTACAAAAACTTGATAATATGACAATATAAACTTATATAAATAATTAGATGTAATGCAATATACAATACAATTTTAACAGGTTATTATTCTATATTGCGATAAATTATCGCAATTTAAATCGCAAAAATCGTTAGCCTGATTATTAATTTTTTTAACTAAACCAAAATGGAGCAATTAGATAAATCTTGTTGATCAAACTCTGTCTCAAGTGTCTCTGAGAGGTGTCGACAAAGGGCACCAGCGCTCAGCGTCGTTGCAGTTAATGCCACCGCGCGATTTAATATCGCCGCGAGGAACGACGCCTCGCAGTAGATATTATAAATACGTGTTATCGCGTATGCGGCGTACTATTTTAATGCGTTATCTCCGTCCACGTCCGCCACGGAACTGCAAACACGCCCGTTCGCTGAGCTCCCGCGCTCGATTTCTGTGCGGCTGTTCGTCGAACTGCATGCATTAGTGGATGGCATCTCTTCTCTCTACGTGCAATACAGTAAACACATATTGATGTTTCGTAGAAAGAGCTGCGTTATAAACTACGTTTCTTATTACGTAAAATCGCATATCGCCTTTTGCAAACATTTAATCTCAATTGAACATAAAAACTAGTGAGCTTTGTAAATTTTATTTTTGAATTACAAGAGATTAGTTTATCACTTAAATATAATATAATATGCAGTCACAATCAAAATCTTTTATCTTGAGAATTTATAAATATGTTATACTGATTCTTTCGCTTACGAATTTATCATTTAAAAACTTTTATCAAATTTATTAAAGTAATACGTAATTCAATCTTAACTTATAAAATAATGCTTCTTTTTAATGGCAAGTATAATTATTCAGTCAATATCTTTTTTTTATTGGAACTATTAATATTACTACGTGTATAAATAGATTAAATGTATTCTTACATTAAACGATAGAAAAGTATTCGTTCTAATTTTAAACATGGAATGCAACTCTTTTTGTTACAATGAATAAATGTTTTCTCACGCTAGGCGATAATGTATGTGCTTTCGTGCCGCTATTTACGAACTGCCCGTGGCGCAGTATACTAAAACGTCATACGCCGCCGAGGACAGAATATCGCTACTTTTGCCACACGTAATAAAAGACACTTCAAACACGCACTACAGAGAGTGAGAGACGCGTGTAATACTCAGATACGTGCGGTTCGGTGCAACTGCGCACATACATTCTCATGTTTTCACGTGATAATTATACTCGACATATGCTGCTTTATGCGGCTGTGCCGAAGGGCCGGAGGGCGATAAAACGCCATTACGGAGATTGTACGTAACGAAAACACATGATATCTATCCGCTGTTTCCCGCTTGCACATTTGTGTGCAACATATAAAAGCTTCGAGTGAGATTATATAAGATCGTCTAATTTGTTTTAAAAGAACACCATTTTTACATTTACATATTATTCAGCAAAGCATCTTTATATATTTTGATACCAAAAACATCAAATATTCTAATGAATTAATTATTTCACGATATCGTTAATTAATACGGACACAACGGTCGTTGTATAGCTCAAAGTCGTAAAATACATTAATTTTATTTACGATTCTTATTATTTTCTTGTACTCATGCGTGGCGGAGTAAAATTTTATCTGCGCGTAATTGTACTCTATTGCTTTCCTTAATTGCCACTCGTCGCGGTCGCATACAGTGGTTTATTTGAGTAGTGCTGAGAGTAATATTAAAACTTAATGACCGCTAATATTTCTCAAAGCTTTATTTTGCCTTGTTTATTGGCTATTTCTAGCAACGGATCGCCGGAACGGTCGTTACTACGCCACGTAGTGAGTAATTCTTAGTTGTTGAATCTGGAAGAGTTATGACTTAAGCTCACGCATACACATAGCTTGGAATTCTGCCAGGTTCTCGAAGGAAACGGACATACGAATGTGTGAGCACAGTTGATTCGCGTGAATATCCCAATATTCGCAAGTGCATTGTATGTGCAAAACCCAATTACGTTATAAGCGATATTAAGAAAACATAGCTATCGACTGCTGTTTTCATTGGCGATCTGCCAATTATTTTCTGAAAACACAAATTCTAGGTCAAATTTGATTTGCCAAGCCGTCGCCTTGTGTTGATAGAAACAATTGTGGGGTTTCCGAATTTATTATTTTTGGCTGATTGATTACCGAAATGCAGATGTCTGCAATAAAATTTTAATTGATAAAACAATGAGAGTGAATTATGTTCTTGCCAAAACTGTTCACTATTTCGTTGTAATAAACGATTAAATATTTATTTACATGCATAAAACAGTAATCATATAGTAATATCTCGACGTTATTGACAAAACGATTTGGAGAGTGCAGAAAGAGTCAAAAAGCATAGATATTCCATTCTTTTTAGATACATAAATCTTTTATTATTACTACATATTGATAGTATACTTAGATACCACGATTTCTAAGACCATCCTTTGTAGACAGTGAAGATATTTTGTTAGGCATGAACAACATTTACACAATTACATATTCTTCTCTAGCTAATTTGCATAGTTTAAGAACAGTGAACCAGGGCAAGATAAACGTTATTCAGTTGTAATCCACTCGAGATGAGAGATGACTCAAGTATGTAGATGTATATGATACGCTATTTTGGTTTTGAAATCCTACATTTGGCGCAAAGATGCGTAGATACAAATTACACATTGCTTGTACCAATCTCATCCATCTGTCTTTTACGAGCGTGTTTACATCTAATGGCCTAAATTCCTACTTGTATAGTTGTAAAGTAAACACAATGTGGACGTTCCAGTTGGAAAAAGATTTATGAAAAGTCTCTCATTTCTAATCGATGCTATATAAAAATAGCCTTTTATTCTGTGAAGGCTCTTATTTTGTGACAGACCTCTACTTCATGGAGATCCCTATTTTATGACGAGCTAATAAAATCCGAGTCTGCCTATATGATTCAATTTTGCCTTCAGTGACGCACCCTTTTGACGTCAATAATACAGAATAAAATATAAGGTTATTCGTTGCGCCGTATTATCTGTGCATCGCACCCAATCTTTTGCGCGAATTTAGTCACACGCAATAAAATATAACATTGATCTTTATATGTTATTAATATTATTACAATCGTTGCTGCGCTCTTTCGTAATGCTCTTTTTTTGCACTTAAACCTTTATACGCCTGTAATATTGTGCACATAAAGTTGAATACAGGCTTAGATTCCTTTCACACGAGACGCACAATTACCGTCCAGACACAATGCATTCAGCGACTGGCAATGCATTGTAGTAAATGTAGCGTTCAGATGAAGACGAGACAATTGTACTTCCAATGTCCCCGACATCACATGCATGTCCGTACGATAATTGATTAATTCCACATTGTGTTTGTAAACGATCTTCGTCCGTTGACATCGTCCTTTATGACATCTTCCCCTACTTTGATCGTTTTCTTCGACAAACGTCAAGTACATTGACACACCTTTTTGCCATTAGAAATCAGCTAGAAACCAGTGAAAGCATAGACATGTGCAGAGGAAACGATAAATAAATGAAAATAGTTTTATTCTGTATGTAAAAAAAAAATATTTTTTCTCGAGACAATCATAAAACATATTATATTTATTTCAGATTCGGGCAAAGAGCCTGATCTATGCTCAGTTTAAAGATCAAAATAGCTTTTGCAGCTTTAGATGAATAGTATTTTAAAATTTGTAATACTTCGAATAACATAGAATGCATTGTGCATCTCGATAAAAAATTTAACTTGATTGAAAGTGGTGCATTTTTTCACTGAATTACTTACGAGTGTTCTGAAAAACAAATTTGATCTTTAAAGTACATAAAGTTTTTAAAAGTTTTCTGGACAAAATATGACAGTGCCATTTATCAATTTGGTGCGAAACAATAAAAGAATAATATTACGGATTTAATGCGAAGATAAATTGATGTTGTGGAATACATCATGTTATACGTGCCAAGCCAGCAATTAATGTGGTAGAATTATTATTTGAATTAAGATGTGCTGAGGAATGAATTATACCTATAACATAGAGCGGGTATTATTAAGCGGTACGGCAAATTAATACGAAACGCAAAGTCGTTAATTAACGCCGTGAGTGCATACTCGCCAGGGCGAGATATTAATACTAACATTGCTTTAAAGCTCCAATTAAACTGACCTGTAACTATTGAAGCAAAGTCGCAAATATCTCACGCAATTTGCATACGGTGTTGCCCTTATACTGAATATGTATGCCTTCAGGCGAAACATAATTTCCATCGTGTGTGCCGCTAATACCTGCGCACACGTGTAATTTTATGATGATTGAATTCCAACTCGGAATGTGCGGAAAACTAATTGTAAGATCACGGCGTATGCCCGATGCCGACGGTAGAAATTATCGTCAGGTTAAATGAAAAGAAACCAAAAGGCGTCATGATGACAGACCGGTATGGGTATTAAATGTAAATTTTATTGATATGTAAAAAGGGGAAGAACAGAGGTGAAGACTGACTGCGTCAAGCGATAACGGAACAAAGTAGATGTATTCACACCGACTCTCTAGAGGCCAAACCATAG